TCACGATGCAGATCGATTGATGGCGATTGTATTTGGCATGAGTTACAGTGATTTTGTGATGGATGGTCGACAACGTGTACAGAAAAAGTGTGTCGCGTGTGTGTATGTGTTGGAGTTCCATGCTAGTCAGCTGTACATAGCCCCCGGCGTGTCTGCATGGTCGGGCGAGCTGTGGACTTGTCTTTTCTGTTTTTGAATATTAGCATCTAGTTTTAAATTTTAGTCACATGCCACACGAAGGGTAAAAAGGTCTTTTCGGGTGACATTTAACACCGTTAAGGCCTAAAATAAACGGAAGTGTTATATAGGGCATAAAATTTAGACAAGGTGTGAAATAAGGAAGCGAAATATTTTCAATGTTAAATAGGGAAAGAAAATTTAAGACAGTGTTAAATAAGGAATTCTTTTCAGAGGGAAAGGCGGGAAAGCCGTAGAGGAGGCGGCGAGTGGCACTGGTGATTCCTGCTGTGGTGTTGTCGCCGAAGAGGGGAAGGTGTCGATCACCGCGGCGACGGCGGCGGCACCGGCCGGTGCGGTGATAGGCTATCCCGTCGAGTTCTCCACTGCTGGGAAGGCTAATGGAAAGGGCTCCGTATAGAGTGGCATCACATTTTTTTTTATCATGCCATATGTACAAATCATGCTGAAATTGTGCTACTAGTTGTCAGGATGTTAATTAGGTTATTAAATCCGAGTAGTATGTTTTTTTTTTGGCGAGCAAAGAGTGAATAAGATTTGATCAAAGTCAAGCTTTGTAAGTTTGACTAACTTTATAGTAAGAAATATCAACATTCACAATATAAAATCAATATTATTAGATGCATCATGAAATGTATTTTCATGCTATATAGTTTTAGTATTATAGGTGTTCATATTTTTTATATAAATTTGGTCAAATTTTATGTAGTTTGACTTTGATCAAATTTTATATGCGGAGTAAAAAAACGCAGGCGTAGCTAGCAATAGAGATACAATCAGTGTTCATACCCTATGTCAATTTCGGGAAATTGAAGTTTTCACCTGCTCTCTACCTAGATGTTAATTAGGTTATTAAATCCGAGCAGTATGTATTGGTAAAAAAAATGATTTTTTATATTGTTTGAAAAATCCGATTTCCCACCTACATTGTTTGGCTAGGTTTATTTTCTACCTATAAGTAGCTTATATTTAGATGAAAAATAACATTGCCTAGCTTTATGAACAAAGCTCCAAACCAACAAATTTTGCCAATGTTTTTTTGAAACGGATGCAAAAGCTTTGCCCCATCGATTAATTAAGAAGAAGAGAATTGCCTAGTTAATTGAGGAAAAACCGGGCTAAAACCAATACAAACATAGCATGGGTTAACTATCGCGTGACAAGAAATCCACAACCGCACAAGCGACTCCTGCCAGACTCTCTGATTACACAACATCCACAAACCGTGACATGTTACTACGCCATGTGAACCCCGACAAGAACACCTCGACTGAAGACATCAAACACCTTCCAACCCACAACGACAACCCAATTCAAAAGGACGGGCCAAGAGACTAAAGATCGTCCATCAAGGAGCCAGAGACGCCTTGCCTATGGCGCTACTCTTGCCTTTGCCCCCCTTCTTTTGTTTCCCTCTTATTGGTGTCCCAGTCAGGAGACAAGTAATCGACCTACCCAAACCAGGTCTAGCAACATCCACACTAACGAGTAAGTCACAAAGTTCTTTCGCGAAGAGAGCATCTGGACTTGGAGTGGGTGCAACCAAACTTGGCTCAATGGTCATGCCACTCACAGGCATCACCTGCTCGATGGTCGCAAGCGAGGGAAGGTAATTTTGCCAATGTGGCATCCACACAACAAGGCGCCACGAAATACTTCCCAGTCAATCGGCAGTTACGCTAGAAATTCCTGGCGTCAGATGCCACAGGGACGCAATAGAAGGCATCGGCTGCACAAGCCCAAGACACGGCTGGCCTTCCTTGCCGATCGATAATTAACGCCTCTAATTAGCCTCTGGCGTTGGAAGATAAGGCGCTTAGATGCCTTTTTAATTTTTAATAATTATTTTTTAATTGTTGATGCTTCCAGGGCATCTCAATTCTCAACAGACTTGTGTTGTCTTGTTGATAAAATTAGTTGTTATCATCAATCAAAAAATTATCATATACAACTACTCCTGTAGAGAGATTGTCCCCAAATTGCCCAATATAAGTTGAGAGAGTTTGTTTTGTATTTTCACACCGGAACTTGTGTAAGAGTTGTTGGTTGATTTACCTAGAACTTTGCCTTCTCTCCTAATTTATTATCTCACATCATCATATGTCCACAATACTTGTTAATTAGCAGAAATCAGGACAAAAATTATCACAATCCGTTGTCCTGATAAACAGATCGTACAACAGTGCGTTCATAAGGATGAGTGTATGCGCGTTTATATGAACGCTTGCGTCTGTACTGTGTTAAAAAAACATACACTGTTGTGCTTAAATCAACGCAAGGTTGCGTTGTGGCACCATCATTATTTCTCACCGAGCAAGCGACAAAACCCATACCACAATGTCTACGAGAACCCACGTAATTAAATATCCAAGCCAAGCAGTTAGCCAGCTGCACCGAGAACATTGCACAAATCTCACAACTAAGGAGTTGTTATGGGAGGTCCTTGCACGTTGCAACTTGTTGTTCGAACATGCTTTATGTGTTGGCCATTTGGCCCGATATGCAACTTTTTGATAATGTCTTGTTTTGGTAGCCCTCTCATCCATGCAACTTGTTGATAATGTCTTTTGTTGGATAGCCCTCGTATCCGTGTAACCTCTATTTAAAGGTGAAGAAGAAGAGCTTTGTCCTCATGCATTATTGGTTAAAGTTGAATGTGCAACCCAATTCCATCAAGACCGCTGACATCGTGATCAGACATGCTCTATGTCTTGGCCATTTTGCCGGATATGC